CCTGTGAGCTCAGAACTTCTATAGTCCCCATTTCACAGCCTCAGAGAGGCTGGAAGGCCTGCCCCAGGTGACCCAGCCAGAAAGGAAGTGAATTATGGGTAAGCCTGGACTCTCTGCACCTCACTGCTCCCGCCCCCAGCCCTCAGCGCCCTGCAGGCCACCCAGACTCCTCACCTTGATCTCAGCCAGCTTTGCGCCCCGACTACAGTCCCACACGGACAGCATGTGCTCGTTGGAGTCGTCCACCACGCACAGAAAAGCGCCCTGGTCCTGCGGACGGCACGCATTGCAGGGGCTGGGTGAGAGCTAGCGTCCGGGGAGTCCGTGGTCATTAAGCAAGGGACATGTCACAGGTTGGGAGGGAAGTGGACACATGTTCCTCTCTCGGGAGAACTGCCGGGGCAGAGTTCAGGAGGACCAGTCTGAGGCTTCCCAGTGCGAGAGGGGGGTCCAGAGGCTTTGGGGCCAGCTCACCACAACGGAGAAGGCCAGAGCGCCCACGCCCCGCTCGAAGGCCCCCAGGCCGATCTCCTGCAGCTTCAGCAGTGTCTCCGAGTCCCAGACGTGGACCACGGGCTGCAAGGGCTGGAACGAGAGAAGCGGTCAGGGATGTGAAGGACAGCTGGGCGGAACTTCATCCTGTCTGCCTGCGTTGGTTCTACCCTTACCTTCCCATCCTTATCCACTCCGGCTGTCTGTCCTGAGGCCACGCGAACACCATCAGGGTGAACGGCCAGGCTAAGTGGGGGAGAAGACACTCTGAGGAAGGGGGCGGGTCGCTCTGGACCACCCAGGACACCTCTGTGCTTGCAGAGCAGCAAGACAACTCCTCTCTCTCCTGCTCCTCCACACCTGCCCAAACCCTTTCCTGCCAAGCCCATGGACCCCAGGCCCAGAGCTGCCCACTCCCCGGCCCCAGGACCCTCACCATCGAACGCAGTCCGTGTGCCCCCGGTAATGTCTCTGGCCGCCACCTCCAGGACCCCCTGGGCCTCCCCCAGGCCGGTACAGCACCACCACACAGGCGATAAAGTAGACCACCTCCCCAGAACGCAGCACAAAGAGATTAGAACGGGAGTCACGACCCCTGTACCCATAGCTGGAGCAGGGATCATGGTCAAGGAAAGGGTCAGATCAAGAGCAGGATGAAGAAGAAAGGAGGACAGAACTTCAGGCTGGCAGGGCCATTGGCAGAGGATAGCAAGGGAGGATTCAGAGTCTCCTGTCCCTGCGGACCCAGGAAGAAACCATAAAGAAGAAGGCAGGGGCATCCCAAGGTGGAAAAAAATGGTTCTCATGGGCTGGGAGGGGCAGGATACACCCAGTCAAGGCTGAGGGTCTCCGGGGGTGGGCCGCTGGGCAGCTCCTCAAGGCTGCGGATGCCAGACGGGATGTACATGGTAATTGGGCGGCCACGAAGGAACATCTTCACTGAGATGCCTTCTACAGAGAAAAAGGGGGGGGGGCATGTCAACCACCACCCTGTAGCCTCCCTCCAGGAAAGCCAGAGCAGAACCCTACCCACCACACCTGACAGGCACCCCCAAAGTAGATCCTGGGGCTCTAGCCCAAATCCTAACTCTTTCATCCAAATTCTTCCAGTTGCTTCTGTACTTACCTAAATTGTAATTGCTCCTCCGAGATCCAGGACCCCCAGGGCTGGAGAGGGGGTCTTTCCCCCCACGGCTGTCGGGAAGAGAAAAAGGCATCAGGATTGGGGTCAGGTCCCAAGACCTAAAAGTGGGGGCTCAGAGCACAAGAAGAGAGGCTGCTGCAGCGACCACGGTCACTGGTTGGCATTCTGGGCACTCAGGGCCCAGGGGCAGACGGGGACTTTCAGCTCCACTTAAGAAATGAGGAGACGGAGGCTACGGGGCTGAGCGCCCAGCACAAGGCACGAAGCAGTGTGGGGTGACCGGGAGGAGCCCCTTCCTCCGGGCCAGCAGGTCTCTGGCTATGGACCTTTCCATTTCCCCGGCTACAAAATGGGACGACAATGACTCTGGAAGGCACACCAGCCCCACCTTTCAGAGATCTAGGAGGTGAACAAGAAAAGCCCTTATCTCTCCAGAGGAAAGCGAGCATTCCACAGGTCACTGTCACCAGATGACAATAAGGTGGAACCATCTCTCCAGAGAATAAAGGAAAGACCGAGGTTAGGGCTGGAATGAACACGCAGATGTCCCAGGGCCTCTGAGACAACCATGCACAGCCACTGGGATTTCCCTTTTCTCTCTAAAAGTAAAACCTGGTAAATTGGAGGAGGGAGCAGCTGAGATTCTGAGAACGACCATCCATGGAAATCACAGAGGCTTTTGGAAAAGCTCTTGGAATCTCGGGAAGTGTATTACCAGACAGTGGGAAGGGCAGGGGAAGTAAGCCCGGAAGAGTCAAGTTCAAATCCTGCCTCTAGCTGTGTGACCCCAGGCAAACGACTTACCCTCTCTGAGCCTGCTTCCTCACCTGGACAATGAACAGCATGACACCACCTACCCCCCAAGGATGTCGTGGGACTGAGTGAGATGGAGGAGGTCGAGGATTTAGCACAGTGCCCGGTACACAGCAGGCGCCCCAGGAGTGCGTGTTCCTTTCTTCCTGTTGGGCGATGAGGCCCCCCCACCCCACCGAGGGAAGCGAGTGAGGGATGAGGAAAGTCAAGAGCCTGGGCCTGGGGCGGGGCAGGTTGGGGGAGCCTCGCCCACCTCTCTGTGCTCCCTGACCGCAATAACAGGTTGGCCGAGGACGCTGCCTTCCGGGACAGTTTCTGTCGAGGCCGCTCGGAGGGGGATGAGGAGGAATTTCTCCGCACCCTGATGGGAGCACAGTGAGCAGGTGAGGGTCACCGCCCCGACCGGCACTCCCGGTCCTCCCACCCCTCCCAGCCTCCGCCACAGGCCACTCACGAGTCAGCGCGCTGTGGGGTGTGTACAAGCCTGAGAACACTCGGGGAGCCAATGCCCCCAGGGGAGCCGGTGCCGCTGCTGCTGCTGCCCCCTCCTTCAGACTGGGTCCCGCTAGGCTCTTCGCCGCTCCCCTGAGGGGCCGGCGGCCCGTTGCTCAGGCCAGGGGTTCCGGGGGGTGGCTCCGTCTCCATCTCTGCTGCCTCCGTCTGGGTGCCTCGGCTCACCACGGAGGGGCTGCACGAGGGTGGCAGTCCCGGTGGGGCTGCGGGGCTGCTGAGGGGACAGTGAGTCAACCCGATGCAACCTTGGAGGTTCCGAGGAGGAGGAGGAGGAGGAGGAGGAGAGGGTGTGACAACATGCAAACCTGTCCCTGGAAGGAGCTATCCTGCCCGGGTCCTGCGGGGAGGTGGGGGGCGCCTGCAGCCGAAGCAGGCGAAGGGCTTCTGCCAGGGCCGCCTTCACCAGCTCCATCTCCTTCTCCTGCACCTGAAGCCGCCGGCTCAGGGACTGCAGGGCCTCCTGAGCAGGGCCCTCGCCTGGGAAAGGGGCAAGGAGCACTCAGAATATACCACCACCTGAGGAGCGGGTCGGGGCGATTCTTTCTGCCCCCAACATTGCATCTGTCCAATAGGACTGCCCCCCGAAAGCAGCCCCAGGCTTGCAGGCTGGCTCAGCGGGGAGGAGACGGGGGGTGGAGGACCAAGGGCCTCCTCCTGGCAGGACAGGCAAAGAAGCTGGCAAAGCTCCCTTCCCGCTGCCGTCCCGGCCTCCGCACAGGCAGGGTGCACCATGGAGTACCGGGGGGAATGTGGAGGGCTGCCGAGGGACGTGGGACCTGCAGCGGGAGTCGCAGTGGGGGGAGGGACGGCAGGGCCCACCCCACAGCAAGCTCAGGTGTCCGGGAAAGCACAGAAACTGAGTAGGCAGCACGGGGACGGGGTGGGGGACACAAAAGTGCAGCCATTCTGGGGGCTCAGAGGGCAAGGAAAAGAAACCTAGAATGATAGGAAAGGCAGCAGTGGAGACAGAACCGTAGGATGGGTCCTACGGTAACGGTGGGGGTCAGAAGTAAAAAGACCCAAAATACCAGCAGAAGAGGCCCACAGTAACATAGGAGACAGGGACACATCGACGTGCCCTGAGGAGCATGGGGTGGGGGTGGGAGTCGGACGAGGTCGGGTAAGTCCGAAATGACAGTAGTAGGACCCACGTAACCAGGGAGAGCGACCTGAGGAACAGCGGAGGATGCTCAGAGCCCCTGGGTCCATGGAGCACGCGGGGACGCCACTGGACGGCCGTCGGGCACTAGCAGCGCCTGAGCGGCCGCTGGGCGCTCCGGAAAGGGGCACGCCGCCCGCCCCCGCCCCGTACTCACCGGGTCCCCCGGCCCCGTCCATCCTGCCCCCCGGCTTGCTGCGAGCGGCAGCGGCGGAGGAGGCGTCTAAGTCGCGGGGACCATGGCCAGGGAGAAGGGAAGGGGAAGCACCCCGGGCACGCGCGCAAAGGTGCCTTGCCACCCCCCGGGGGCGCTGTCGGGCTCGGGGGAAGGTCCTGGAAGGGGCGGGGGACGCAGCCTTCGGGGCCCGCTGGGGCCTCGGACTCTCCCGGGGCCAATCTCGGCTCCCGGGGGTGGGTTGGCGGGGCCGTCCCGGGCCCCAGCGCCGCGGCACAAACAGGCGCCGGACGCGGAGCAGCCAGGAAGCGCGGGAGGGGGGGCGGGACGAGGGGGGGCCGGGCAGCCTGGTAACCCCTCCCTGTCCGGGCCCCGCGGCTCACCACGGGGCGGGACCAACCCGCTGACCCCCTGGCCCTAGCCCGGCCTCCGCCCTCCGGGACCTTCCGGGATCTCCGCCCCCGGACTCCCCGGGGACACGGGAGGGAGCTTGGGCCTTCAGGTCTCCGTCTCCCCGCCCCAGCCCCTAGCCCCCACGGGCCGAGCCGACCGGCCCCACCCCTCTTCCGGGAGGGGCCCGGGGGCGGGACTTCTCCTAAGGGGCAAGGCCAAGGCATCCCGAATTGGGGCAGGCAAGGGATGGGGCTGCGGGTTATTAGACTGGGGTGGGAGGATTCCCAGGGTATTGGGGTCAGGGTGGCATTAGCCCAGCTCAAGCCGGGCTGGGCTGACTCAGCGTCCTGCCCCGGCCAACCGGTCCCTGACAACCCTGCTCTTCCCTGGGCAGAGATGGGAGATGGCGCCGGTGCTGCCCCTGGTGCTGCCGCTCCAGCCCCGAATCCGTCTGGCGCAGGGGCTCTGGCTCCTCTCCTGGCTCCTGGCGCTGGCTGGTGGCCTCACTCTCGGGTGTAGCGGGCACCTCCTAGTCCAGCTTTGGCACTTCCGCACTTTCTTGGCTCCCTCCTGCCCCTTCTCTGCCCTGCCTCAGGTTGCCCTGGCAGCTGGTGCAGTGGCTCTGGGCACCGGACTGGTGGGTGCAGGAGCCAGCAGGGCCAGTCTGGATGCAGCTCAATACCCTCCCTGGCGAAGGGTCCTCGGCCCGCTGCTGGTGGCTGGTACTGCTGGCAGTGGAGGGCTCCTGGTCCTCACCCTGGCACTAGCCCTGGCTTTACCTGGGAGTCTGGACGCAGGGCTGGAAGAAGGCCTGGGGGCTGCCATGGCTCACTACAAGGACACAGAGGTGCCAGGACACTGTCATGCCAAACGGCTGATGGATGAGCTGCAGCTGAGGCACCACTGCTGTGGGCGCCACGGGTACAAGGATTGGTTTGGGGTCCAGTGGGTCAGCAGCCGTTACCTGGATCCCAATGACCAGGACACAGTTGAGTGAGTGACTCACTTCTCTCCTCTCCGCCTTCCTCCTCCTCCTCCATCCCTTAAAACCCCATCTCACCCAGACACGCGATAATAAATAGGGCACGGTGATTGAGGGAATGGGTTACAGCTCGGCCATTTTTGGCTGTGTGACCCAGGGCATGTTACCAAACTCCTCTGGGCCCTTTCCTCATCTGTAGCGCGGAGATCATAGCAGCACCTACCTTACAGAGTTGCTGTGAAGACAAATCCATTACGCACACCTGGCATGTAGCAGTCAGTAAATGTCTTACTCTCATTCTTCCCTTCTCAACTCCTGCGCCCCGAAGCTTCCCCGCGCCCCCCCCCAGGCCTCTATCTCCAGACCCCCTGACACCCCTGCCCCTCCCTTTGCAGCCGGATCCAGAGCAATGTGGAAGGCCTGTACCTGATGGATGGAGTCCCTTTTTCCTGCTGCAACCCCCACTCACCCAGGCCTTGCCTGCAAACTCGGCTTTCAGACCCCCACGCCCACCCCCTCTTCGATCCTCGTCAGCCCAACCTCAACCTCTGGGCCCAAGGATGCCACGGGGTGCTGCTGGGGCACCTGCAGGGGTGGGCCAGCACACTGGGCAGCACGCTGGCTGTCACCTTCCTGCTGCAGGTGAGTCGGCAAAGTGGCTGAGGCCTCCCTCCATCTGGGCCTCTACCTCTGGGGCCCGTTAACGCTGACCCTTGCTGACCTCCTTCCCCTTTCTTTCCCCAGACTCTAGTGCTCCTGGGCCTGCGGTACCTGCAGACAGCACTGGAGGGGCTTGGAGGGGTCATTGATGGGGAAGGAGAGGCCCAGGGCTACCTCCTTCCCGGTGGGCTGAGGGACATGCTGAAGGCAGCATGGCTGCAGGGAGTGGCCACCCACAGGCCAGCACCTGCGGACGCCCCTCCAGAAGAGGCACCTTCTAAGGAGGATCTACCTGAGGCCTAGTGGCCTGGAGCTTGGGGCAGCAACTGGGGGAGGTCGGGGAAGGGGTGCGCGAGACTGAAGACCTCACAACTCCTTTACCAAGGCCCCAGGTGGGGCAGGGGGTGGTCCCTGGGATGAGGGGGGTTAAGAATAATCAGTGAGCTGACTGAGGAGAAATGAGGGGTCCCAGGGCCTAGCCTCTGTGGCCAGACCACCCAGAAACAGAAACTAGGGTGACAGGAAAGTGACACGGGAAGGGCTGGAGACTGCTTCTGGTGTGGGCGCAATAAAGCTTTTGGACTGAAGCCACTGATCTTTCTCTTCAAGGGGCTCAGGGCCCTGAGAGCAGTGATTTCTGCCCGAGACGGAAGCCAGGGCACCAGGGTTTTGACCCTGGTAAGAATCAGAATGCAAGAGCCAGACTTGCAAGATGAGAAAAAAAACAGAGGCCCCTCCAGGTTGAGATTTTTTTATTCTGTGGAGGTAGGAAGGGGTTAGCATGCTCAGGTGGGGAGGGTCCAGCCCAGCTCCTCCAGCCCCCCAGTGCATGCCCAGCCCCAATAAGTTACCCAGTTAAACTCAGCTGCCCTCCCTCCTGAGTCTGTCTGTTCATTTGCTCCGCCCCAGACAGGGCCAACCAGGCTCAATACAAGGGCTGCTTGTCCCCAGCTTGTGGGCAGTGCCACATGGCAGGGTGAGGGAGGGGGAAAGCAGCTGGGCCACGCCCTAGGGCTGCAATGGCAGAGGGACAGAGCCACCCTGGCTCTGAGGGGTCAGGACTTGGAAAACCACATCCTGGGCAGGCCAGGGGCCCAGGTCCACAGGTCTGTGCCTGATGAGGCTGCAGTTGGGGCAGGATGTCCATCACACCTCCACGGCTGGGTCTGAGCCTCGGCCCTGCCGCTGCAGCTGCTCCTCCTGCTTCATCTTGGGCTTCTCTGTCCGCGTATGCCACACCAGAACCTGTGCCGGGAGGGCTTCCATTAGAGCCAGGCCCAGCCACAGCCAGGACTCCAGGGCCCTCAGTGAGGCCAAATTCTCTAGTGAGGCCTCTGCACACACAGTGTTGCTGCCAAGTGTGAAGGGCAGGCTGGAGGGGAAGCCTGTGTGCCTCCAAAATGGGGCTGTCACCCCTTCGCCTCTCTGTGCCACACGGATGCCCAGGATTCTGGGAGACAGAGTGGCAGGACACCACTTTTCCTGCTGGCTCCCAGCTTCCCCTTCAGTGGAGTAAGCAAGGTTGTAGCTGAGTCCTGGAGGGTCCTTCCTGGTCCGAACACCTGTCCTTTGATGCCCCTCCCCAGGGCCTCCCTCCACGTCTCCCATCACCTGCCCACCCCAGAGCTGCATGGCCCACCTCCATCCCCTTACCCGAGTGCAGTTGGCTGCCCGTGGCTCCAGGTCCTTGGGATCCACGAGGTGGCTCAGGAGACTGCTCTCTAGATGGCCCCGAGGAGCCGTTGCATCAAACTGGGCATTGGGCTTAGCCAACAGCAAGGGCAGGGCAACCGCAAATCCCGCCATATCCATTGGGAAGGGCCGGGTGGGCTCCCATGCCGTGTGGAAGCCCACGACCCGGCCATCCTGTACCCGAGGGCCCTCGAATCGCAGGCCGCCCACCAGCCCCACAGGCCACACTGAGACACCACGGGTCCAGCGCATCTAACAGAGGTCAGGAGACAAGAAAAAGACAGGGTGGTCCAGGGAAAGGGGAGCAGCATGAAGGACCACTTGGGTCACTCTCCTCCATGCTCCCCTTGCCTCACCCAACAGCCTAGAGCAAAGATGGTAACCAAGGCAACAGAGGAAGCTGGGCCTCCCAGCCTCTTTTCCAGCCCCATCCCAGAGCTCACCTCCTCAAAGAGTTCCCGGCTGTAGGTGTTGTCATCATCAGCAAAGTACACAACTCCCCGGGTCCCTGGGGGAGGTGGGTCCTTCTCGCCCCCTACGGCGCCCCTTCCACTCCGGAGCCAATCCAGAGCCCTGTTCCGTTGCTCTACACCACGGGGACGAACCCAGCCTGGCTCACCCTCCCGGAGCCGCTGGGCCTTGGGAGTAAGGACCGCCAGGTGTGTGAAGAGGAGGCCAGAGGCAGCCAGCAGCCCCGAGACCAACGGGGTAGGGCCCTCAGCATCCTCCACCAGCAGCCAATGCAGCCGGGGCACCAGACTCAGAGTCTGGGACAGCCGCACCAGCTCTGCCTTCTGCACCAGCCTGCGGGGGGAAGAGGCAGCAGGAGGGAAAGGGGTGGACACCATCTGCCCACTCCAGCTAGCAGACACAGCTTCTTCTGAACCCCTTCTAGCATCCCCATGGCCTTTCCCCAACTCCCTTTCTCGCCTGTCAACTTCACACTGACACTCACCTGCCCTGTTCTTCCAATCATGTCTGTCACCCGCCTCAACCCCAACCCGTGGGGGACTATAAGCAAAGGGTCCAGCTTTTGGAACCAGATAGATCTGGGTTCGAAGGCTAGGTTTCTAATTAGATGAGACATACAGGAAAATGGCTCCCTCTTCCCAAGTTTGTTTCCTGGGCTGCAAAATGGGAATAACAGTGCTCTAAAACAATGTCGTGTTAAAGGTTAAGCGACGATTTTCTAACGCACGGGTAGGACCGGCTTCTCTTCCTTCTGTGCTTGGGTTTCCAGGCAGAGGAGTTTAGAGGAGCCCCTTGACTCAGTCCCCTCCAGGGGAGGATGATTTGAGTTTGGACAAAGTACTGGGAAGTTTGGCCCAGTCTCCTCTAGGCTGCTTTGTCGTTCAGACTGGCCTGCCTGCCTGCCTGCCTGCCACAGCCTGGGTGGGGTGTGTGTGTGTGGGGGGGGCAGGGGGGCAGGGTCTAGAGTGGCCTGAGCCTGGAGGGCTCAGCCACCTGATTCCAGGGAGCAACTAGCAGGTCCTTCGGCTGCACATCCAAAACCACAGTTCCCCACTTGGGTTTAATACGAGTACTAAGGCTACATTTTAATTTTTTTTTAAAAGTAAGGCACTTAGTTAGCACAGCACCTGGTAAGAGTAAGCACACTGTAAATAACAGTGTAACTATTTCTAGACCAAGCCCTTTTCTACTTCAAGTTGGATAGGGGTTCTCAAACTTTCTCACCAAAGGATCCTTAAAGACAGAGAGTGAACTCATTGGCAAGCTTCACATTTCCTTGCAAGTTTATTACCTTAAAATTAGTCAGGAATTCTGCATTCTACTTCACAGTATACCCCCGTTTCTTTTACTGGAAAATAACCATTTCTCCCACAAATCTCTGAGTAAAGATGTGGTTCATTCATCCTGTCATTTGCCATGCCCTAGTCTGAGGAACATTCCCTGGCCCAATGCCGCCCCCAAATCCTCCACATCAACCCCAACCTCTTGGTCCATGCGGGCCTGTTGGGTGCACCAGAGCCCATACCTGGCGTAGGTGGGGGTAACAACATAGATAGTAGGCAGGGCCTCAGGCTCAGGGGGCTGGGCAGGGGCAGGGACTGGCCGATGGAGGTCAGCTTGCAGCTGGGAAATCCTCAGATCCTTCTGCCGAAGCTGCTCTGCTGCTGCCCGCAAGGGAGGGAGGCAGTCACATGGCTGGCCTGGTCCCAGGAAGCAGGGATGGGAGCAGAGAATCACAGCATGTTCAGCATCCCGAAGGGTCACAGTCTCATACAATTCAGCCAGGGCATGAATCTCCTTACAAGTCCTCCAACAGCCATCTCTAGACCTCTGGTGGTGGGTGGGCGACTCACTAGCTCAATTTTGAGCCCCTCTCCAACTTCAACAAATTCCATCTGTGACAATTTTCATTTGGATATTGAGCTGATTATCTGCCTCCATCCTTTCTATCTGGTGGGTCTCACTGTGCCTTCTGGGGCCATAAAGAACTAGCCTCTACCCCTAAAACAGGACAGTCTTTTCAAATACCCAAGGATCATGCAGCGGTCCTGTCTGGCAATCCCTGCATAAGAGGCAGAGTTCAATCTGTCCCCTTGGCTGTGCGACCAAAGACTCATTAAACTTATCAATTCCATTATTGGGTAAACATTTATTGAATGCTCTTCCTGGGGATGCATCAGGAAGCAAAGCAGTTATGACCCCTGTTCTTGTGGCGTTTTCACTTCAGTGGAGGGGGGCAGTCACTAAGCAATGAACATTACAAATTGGGCTAAGGGCGAAGAAGGAAGCCAATAGCATAGAGAAATAAAAAAGAATCCGGGGAAAGAAGCGTTCCCCTAGCTAAGGTAGTCAGGGAAGGCCTCTCTGAGGTGGTCACATCTGAGCTGAGACCTGAAAGGTGAAAAAGAGGCAGCAGGAAAGACCTGGGAGAAAGGCACCGCAGGCAGAGGGAACAGACTAAGAGGTTGAGAAAGCAATGAGCGTGCGGTTTTCGAGAAACTGTCACGAAGCCAGCGTGGCCAGAGCAGAGCAGAGCAGAGCGAGCGAGAGGGCTGGGAAAGTGGGTTAGAGAGGCAGACGGCGGCAGGATCCTGCGGGGCCCTGCACGCCCTGGGAAGGAGTCTGGATTTCACCCGAGGTGCGGCGGGAAGCCGCAGTGCGCTCCAGAGAAGGGTGCCCGCCTCGCAGCCGCAGAGGGCAATCGGAGGGCCGAGCCGGATGAATGGTGTCTGCACTGGGGTTCGTCCCCAGGGCGGGAAGTACAGCGGCGGGCGCCTGCGGGTAGGCCCGCCGCACCCCCGCCCCGCCCCGCTCACCGAGCTGCACCAGCGCGTAGAGGAGGCCGGCGATCGACACCAGGAAGTAGGCGAGAAACACGTTCTTCAGCTTCAGCTTCATGGCCGTGCCGCCGCCGGCGTTCAGGCAGGCGGGGTCCCGCGGGGACAAGAGGTCCCCGCCCCCCACTGGACAGCCTGCAGGCCCCGCCCCTGAAGCGGCCCCGCCCCTTGCCCCGCCTTCCTCACGCGGTTCTAGACCAGCTCCGGGGAGCTGAGGCTGGCGAGCCCGCCGCGGCCAACGTCAAGTCTGTCTGCAACACCACCCCCTGCCCCGGTTAATTTCCGGTCTCATCGCCTAGTTCTGGGAACCTCGGGAGTGAGTGACGTCATATCCGGCGTGTCCAGCGTGCGGGGCCGGCAGTCAGAAGCCCGGTGGGACACGTGGGAGCGACTTTGAGACCTTCCCCTTGAACTCCAGTCGTTGTGCCCAGGTTTTCTCCTTACATGCATTCATCCATCCGTCAGCCACAGCACCCATAACTCAGTAAATACTTGCTACACGAATGGAGGAGATCTAGGACCTGTCATGCGCCAGGCCTGGGTTCTAGGTCTATCACTTATAATCCTCTCTAAAACCCTAGGCGATA